AGAGGAGAGAGAGAGGAAGGAGAGAGAGAGGAAGGGGAGAAGAGAGGGAGAGGAAGGGGGGAGAGAGATAGGAGAGAGAGAGAGAGAAAGGGGAGAGGGGGGAGAGAGAGGAAGGAGAAAGAGAGAGAGAGAGGAAGGGGAGAGAGAGAGAGGAAGGGGAGAGAGAGAGAGGAAGGGGAGAGAGAGAGAGGAAGGGGAGAGAGAGAGAGGAAGGGGAGAGAGAGAGAGGAAGGGGAGAGAGAGAGAGGAAGGGGAGAGAGAGAGAGGAAGGGGAGAGAGAGAGAGGAAGGGGAGAGAGAGAGAGGAAGGGGAGAGAGAGAGAGGAAGGGGAGAGAGAGAGAGGAAGGGGAGAGAGAGAGAGGAAGGGGAGAGAGAGAGAGGAAGGGGAGAGAGAGAGAGGAAGGGGAGAGAGAGAGAGGAAGGGGAGAGAGAGAGAGGAAGGGGAGAGAGAGAGAGGAAGGGGAGAGAGAGAGAGGAAGGGGAGAGAGAGAGAGGAAGGGGAGAGAGAGAGAGGAAGGGGAGAGAGAGAGAGGAAGGGGAGAGAGAGAGAGGAAGGGGAGAGAGAGAGAGGAAGGGGAGAGAGAGAGAGGAAGGGGAGAGAGAGAGAGGAAGGGGAGAGAGAGAGAGGAAGGGGAGAGAGAGAGAGGAAGGGGAGAGAGAGAGAGGAAGGGGAGAGAGAGAGAGGAAGGGGAGAGAGAGAGAGGAAGGGGAGAGAGAGAGAGGAAGGGGAGAGAGAGAGAGGAAGGGGAGAGAGAGAGAGGAAGGGGAGAGAGAGAGAGGAAGGGGAGAGAGAGAGAGGAAGGGGAGAGAGAGAGAGGAAGGGGAGAGAGAGAGAGGAAGGGGAGAGAGAGAGAGGAAGGGGAGAGAGAGAGAGGAAGGGGAGAGAGAGAGAGGAAGGGGAGAGAGAGAGAGGAAGGGGAGAGAGAGAGAGGAAGGGGAGAGAGAGAGAGGAAGGGGAGAGAGAGAGAGGAAGGGGAGAGAGAGAGAGGAAGGGGAGAGAGAGAGAGGAAGGGGAGAGAGAGAGAGGAAGGGGAGAGAGAGAGAGGAAGGGGAGAGAGAGAGAGGAAGGGGAGAGAGAGAGAGGAAGGGGAGAGAGAGAGAGGAAGGGGAGAGAGAGAGAGGAAGGGGAGAGAGAGAGAGGAAGGGGAGAGAGAGAGAGGAAGGGGAGAGAGAGAGAGGAAGGGGAGAGAGAGAGAGGAAGGGGAGAGAGAGAGAGGAAGGGGAGAGAGAGAGAGGAAGGGGAGAGAGAGAGAGGAAGGGGAGAGAGAGAGAGGAAGGGGAGAGAGAGAGAGGAAGGGGAGAGAGAGAGAGGAAGGGGAGAGAGAGAGAGGAAGGGGAGAGAGAGATTGGAGAGAGAGAGAGAGAGAGAGAGGAAGGGGAGAGAGAGTCATTTAACATTTCATGCGATTTAAACATTCGATTCTGGAGATGGAGTTTCCTGAATGAAAATCACAATCACTGGTAGAATTTTGTTAATTCAGGAAAACATTTTGCCTCCCGCTCCTTTGATTTTTTTCATCGCTCACCGAAGTGATCTCATTAACTATTAGAAAATCAAACGAACGTTCCCAAAAACACATTTTTTTTACATGTATTTCTCCTGGTAGATATATCCAGCTTCAGTCCTCTAGAGATGGCTTTTAGAATGCAAGCTCTGAGGATCAGGGCCCTCCTATCCCTCTTGTATTGAATTATATTGTAACAAGGATGCATAGGGGTTCAGACGGCGCCACGTCCCGGTATCAATGGATAAGAATTTCTGATCTATTGAGTTATATTGTAACTTTTATGTCTGCCTTTATATTGTGAAGCGCTGAGCATACTGTCGGCGTTCTATAAATCCTGTATAATAATAATGATGGTGATGATTGTAGGGAGGGATCGGACCACACCGGGATCTCTCAGACATACCTGTGCTGTCAGTGCAACCATTCACACCCTAATCCCTGCAGGCTTGTTGATGTCTGGTTACCATGGTGACAGCCACGCCCACACAGCTCTGATTGGATGAGGCTTACACCCACATTTATTACAAATACGTCCACCCTGACCTCCAATTACACAGAGACTGGGACCAGTCACCACCATTGCTTTACTGGTCAGGAACTGGAAACATTGAAAGAAAAAACTGTTACAATGAAACTTTTCAACATGTTAAACATCTTTAAAGTGCAGCTGAAGCCATTTCATTTTAGGGGGCGGGGGCGGGGGAGGGGGGATCAGACCCCTTGCCAGGTTTTTACTGCTGTCTGTAGGGAGATTCACCCCCTCTGCTGGTCCTGGTGCCCATTATCAATGAAAGTGATGGTGGGTTGTCACCAGAAAAGGAGTAGATGGGAAATCATCCAATGGGGACACTAGTTCAGGTGATTTTGCTGACCACCAGGGATTTCCCGGGATTTTTTTCTGACTTCCCGTTGTGTCCATCAGACAGGAAGTGAAAGGAAACCACCCTAATATGACACAGCAACCCCTGTCAGCAATAAAAGTTATAACCCTCCTTTTACAATATGCAAAACTTAAAAACAAAAAAAGTTTTGGGTTCAGTTCTACTTTTTGAAGTTCAGTGTGAGTACCTGAATGTGACCCGGTGTCAGTCCCTTTACTGCAAGTCTGGAGGGTGAGAGGAAGAAGCAGAACATGTTCATGTGCCGAGGAGCATGCTGAGAGGAGGAGAAAACAGAGTGACAAAGAGATGAGCTCATCACTCGTCTGCTTTAATTGTCCAATCACAGGCTGGGGGATGGGTTCAAGACAACCAGGGCTCAGAGGAAGTGGGTTGAATGATACCGGCCTTAAGACTGAGGACATCTAGTGGTAGTAAATTGAAGATACTCCCCTTCCTCAGCAGCCTTCCCAATACCAGGACTTTCAGTGTTGGAGGAGCGTGTGACTGTGCTCGGGTCCAGCAGCCAAATGCCAGCCCTGAGCACTATCACATGACAGGGGAGGGGGGGTATCATTGCAGAGATGCTGCCACTTTACCATGCATAGGTAATGAGATGATGTCTCTTTAAATCCGACCTCTGTCCTTCCCTTCAGTCTTCTATCTGACCTCCGTCCTTCCCTTCTCTCTTCTATCTGACCTCCGTCCTTCCCTTTAGTCTTCTATCTGACCTTCGACCTTCCCTTCAGTCTTCTATCTGACCTCCGTCCTCCCCTTCAGTCTTCTATCTGACCTCCGTCCTCTCCTTCAGTCTTCTATCTGACCTCCGGCCTTCCCTTCAGTCTCATATCTGACCTCCGTCCTTCCCTTCAGTCTTCTATCTGACCTCCGTCCTCCCCTTCAGTCTTCTATCTGACCTCCGTCCTCCCCTTCAGTCTTATATCTGACCTCCGTCCTTCCCTTCAGTCTTCTATCTGACCTCCGTCCTCCCCTCCAGTCTTATATCTGAACCTCCGTCCTTCCCTTCAGTCTTCTATCTGACCTCCGTTCTTCCCTTGAGTCTTGCACAGTGGTCCCGGCTCCTCTCCTCTTCCTCTGATATCACTGCACACTGGGAGCTTCTCACAATGTGCATTAGAAGCCGCAGCAAGTCAGATAGAGCCCACCCTCATTTCCTGGCTGGAGGACATCCAGCATTATCTAGCACTTTCCTCCCCAGCCTGACTGTCCCTGGCCCCACCCTTTTCGTTCACTAGATTTCAGTTCTTCCAATCATGGAGGCTCAGCATCACATGTGGGCGGTCTACATGCAAATACAGTCTGCCTAGGACCGCCCACTCCTCCAGACTGACATCAACCCATCAAGGCATTTTGATATTTGCATAACTCCTCCCAAGAGCCACCCCACTGCTTGCATCAAGGCTCATGAGAGTGCTGAGGCAGGGTGCTGGGATGTCTTCAGGAAGCTCTGTACAGGAGGAGGAGGTCAGGGAAGGCAAATTATAAGCAGATTAAACTTCACCAACCAAATAAAACACTGCAGACCCTAAATATACAAAAGATGTTTAATTACACTGATTTCCCAGATTTAATTATAAAATGCGGAATAATAAAATCTATAAATGGAATTTGAAGTAACAATATAATTTATGTACAGAATATAAAACAGTAAAATACAAGCTCGGCAAAGACCCGACCCGCCCTACATGCACAGCGCCCATTCTTCAGTCCAGACCCAGCTTGTCCTTGTTCTCCCAGAGCCAGTCATGATACTTGTTCAGTTTGTGGTCCTCCGGCTGAACCTGCGAAGATATCACAGACACACATGGAAAGCTGAAGTCTGATCTGCTTATATGTCGCCATCTCTGGTTCCCCCCTCCATCAGCATGCCAATGAAAATAAAACCACACTTTACATCTGCAGCTTTCATTACAATAACCCCCCCCCC